CCCCCTTCTTAAAACAAAACAAACCAAGTGATCTTTTTTTAAAGGTTTGTGTGCAGATATTGTGCTGGTGTGTTTGAAATTCAGACAGTTTTTGTGATATTGTTCAGACTTCAGCCTAAAGCACAGCTTCCGGAATTGATGGAAAGTGAGAGAAGAGAAGAGCTACTGGAGATTTTCTTGAAATACGGGTTCATGTCAAGGAGTTGTGTGAAACTCAGAGACGATTGTGTAAAATTGTACGGACTTTCTCAGCAAAGCTATGTATGGTTCTCATAGTGTCCTCTTTATGATTGAAGGCAATTAGAAAACATTTTAAAGCTAAAACAATGTTAAGACTTCGATCACTTTTAAGTTTCCCAAAGTGTGGGCTGAGATGTACTGAATTATGTTTTTAGAATGATAATCTGACTGCCTGTCTCACCCGTCACATTTATGGTGATTCATTGGATATTTCTGGACAGAGGGGCCAGTTTTATCAATAGATGATTTCTTATAGAAATAGGGAGATTTGCTTCCTTATGTAACAATCAATTTTAATTAATAGTGTGCCCATGTAGGAGAAAAGTGGAGAGTGGTTTGATGACCTCAAGCACGAGTGTCATTTTTCAAGAGCATTTTTTTTTCTTTTCGCGATCGACTAGAGGTATGGAAGAAAGAACACTGTCCTTTGAAAAACACGACTATAAATATCACGGTGTGAATGCGTACGCTTATCAGCCTGCATAAGGTCCTTCTTTAGTGGATTTAAAATTAGAAAAAGCACAGTTTTAGGAATTGATGGAAAGTGAAAAAAAAAAGTATTGGAGATTTTCTTGACAAACATGTCAAGAAGTTGTGCTGATGTTTAGAATTCAAAGACGATTGTGTAAAATTTTACGGACTTTCTCAGCCTAACTATGCAAAGAAATTAATGGTGAGGTATCATTTTTCAGTCGTTTTGAGCCAGATTCTTTGTATTTTGTTTTGGAATTCAAAGGCAATGAAAAGAATACACATAGAGATAGAAAAACTCCGCTCAAGACACATGGACCGATACCAGTAAAATATATTTTTAGGCCTCTGCGCATAGGGTTCTTACAATGTTGTCTTTATGATTGGAGCCAATTGGAAAACATTTTACAACAAAAACAATGTAAAGACGTCGTTTAAAAAAGATTTTGAAAGTTTTGGACCTGATAAACTGAATTAGATCTACTCAATTATGTTTTTAAAACGATAATTTGACAATTTCTCTCACTCGTTACATTTATGATGATTCACTGGATATTTCTGGACAGAAGGGCCAGTTTTATCAATAGATAGTTTATTGTAAAAGTGGAGAGATTTGTTACCTTATGTAACGGTCCATTTTAGTTTAAAATGTGCCCTGTGTGAGAATTTTAGACATTGGTTTGATGATCTCAAGCGCGTGCGTCGTTTTTCGAGAGCAGTTCTTGTTTTTTCTTTTTATCGTCGGCTTCACAAAGACAACAAAAAGGTGTGGGAGAAAGAAAGCTGTTCTTTGAGAAACATAACAAATATTAGGTCATATGAGCGAGTGGGACACTTTAATCAGTGTGTGTGATGTACTTATAATTAGAAAGCAGAATTGCAACAAAAAAAAAAAAAGTACATTATCAAAGTAAGACATTTTAGAGATTTTTATCTTCACTATGATCTTCGGAGTATTTGAAATGGAAGCAGAAAGACGTTATTTAAAGATATCTTTAAACCTGTAAGTCAATTCATTGACATATATACAAAACACTTTGCCTAAGAAAATATTCTGACAGATTATTTTGTCACTACTCATCAGGCTCTTGTGGTAACGTATGGGATTCCACATTGACTGGATGAGCTGTACACGATGAGTTATAGGATGTCTTGACATATGTGCTTTTAGAGTTTTCTTTGATTATATTCACAGTTTTTAATCTTTAAACAGTCGTCGTCTTCGACTGTATCTATTCATTATTCCTAATGTGGACAATCATATGACGACCCTTCACATGAAGTTTAGTTTTGTAGTGATAGATTTGTATGACGTATAGTGCCTCTTAAAGAGTGTGGCTGTGTGTTAAGCTGTTTTGTGACGAATAAAATATTGTTTTATAATAGTTTGAGGTTGTTTTTTTCTCTTTTAAATGTCTTTTTTGTTGTGTCAAAACCCATAGAGCTGATGGTAACTGGACGTTCTCCGATACTGGTGTCTTCGTATGATCGTTGCAATCATAATATAGCGTATTATAATATATCCAGGCTCTAAGCATGCCCTATGCGCTTTACAAAATATTATTACCCCAGCAGACACCAGAACACTCAAAAATATTCTCAGCTTCCAAGGAAGCATACTACACTGCAAGCTGCTGACAGCACGCGCCCAAACACGAACAAGCTGACACGATCTTTCGCTGTCTATGGGTGAAGTCTTCTTTTTTCTTTGCCTTCCCCAGCTAGATCTCAGGGGTAGTCACTGCTGGTTCTTCAACCTGGAGTGCAGCTGATTTTTACGTAAGTCGAACCTGTGTAAAACGGCCATCCATTGTCAAGGACAAAAGTGGCAGTTCAACACAGGTGGCCGTAGGCAGGACTGATCAAAAGGAAGAAAGAAAACCATTCTCTTCTGAGGTCCAAGCCGTGGCTTGACCTCAGGGTTGGGGCTG